AAAACTTGTAGAATAAATTACGAAGTGGAAACACTCAATAACTCGTAAATAAGGAAAACGCGTATCATGCCTGTTTTATGGTCAGAAAGTAGGTTTAATGTCAACCTTTTAAAAGAGATAGGTTTATTAACACGAATTCACTCATATCGATCATGTTTCTACATTATTTAGGTGTGATAGTAAAACTGTACCATATTTGTAATGAATGATGACAAATGAAATATCAACGATTATAGTGGTAATTTTATCAACTATGTGACTGACTCAATGATCTGGCGCTGTAAAGTTAGAGGAAATGTATGTCATTAAAATGACACGATTTAAAACAATAAACGGTTAGATTAAATTTTTAAATTGATGACGAGGTAGAAAAATAAAGAATAAAAATAACAGAAAATAAGCAAAAACAAAAACAAAACAAATAAAAAAATAAAAATAAAAAAACCATTTTTTTTTTTCGCCTGTAACATTCTAATTTATGTAAAGACGGCGCTTCTCCTACAAATGTATCATATGAGGATTTAATGTGTAATTTCATAACTATGTGCCTCAGAAGCGTATTCTGTTTAAATGTAGGTATGAACATGCAACACTTACTATATGAAATATTAATTGATATTCAAAGTAGATTATCTGTGTACTTATGTTGTGTTCCATATCCTGGACGAATTAAGTCATGCGCAACCGACCACATTGAAAGCACACCAGACAAAGATATTGTTTTCTTATCTTGACAAAACACTGATCTCTTGAAATTGTAATTAAATTACGTACTTTGACTTATGAAGAATGAGAAGTGTTTATACAACCGCGGTATGAATAAATATACCTTCTTATTCCTTAAATGAAATTCCTGTTACAATCGACACCATAAGAAGGTGAACAGAGGAGAAGCAGTGAACGGTTAAATGCTGACGAGAGACACAAAGCACTGTCTCCCAATGACGATTGAGGAGATTACAATCACCACAAAGTATTTAAAGCTGTTGTGTAAAATATCGGGTTAGCTTTAATATTGGTCAAAACAACCGTGTAATGGGACCGAAGCTTGACCATTAACTGTAACCTACACAAATCTAGAATTAAAATAGCCAGTGGCCTGTTAGATAATGATCTAAAAGTACACGGATCGACTGGACCGTTTTATTATGCGAATGCGGATACGGGTTTCTTCAAATATTCTATAAATCCGTATGTTTAATTTTGGAATCTTTATAGATATTAGTTATTTGTCATGAGCCGACGAAAAATCAACGTTTTTCTTTTATATTTCTAAATAGATGAGGTCAGGAACTCATCTTGTGAGTGTCCGGAGAAATGACCAGTCATAGAATAATGACGGATTAGACATGATTTAGCAATCCGTATGATATACAAACCACGTATCATACAGAGACAGTCTTCCGGAATAAAACGGACGTTCTGAATTTATTTATCAAGGCAGGAATTTAGACTTGTACTTTGCTGGGACTTGTGTAAGTCCGAAAATCTACATGATTATGTAGATATTTACGCAAATGATGGTTACGAAAATAAAAAAAAAAAACAAAAAAAAAACAAAAAAATTGATTTTAAGGTGATTGTGAGAGAACACCATAAACAAATATTACATACAAACGAAATACCTTAATTACATGGAAACTTCCGATTTTTTTTAATATATACGTCCAAATCAAAGAATTCGTAAAGTTTGCGTCCTCATGTCAGACAGGTTTTTATCATTATTATTATTATTATTTTGTTGTCAAATGTATGTGGATTTAAAATAAAGAAAAAATGTTTTACCTATATCAAAGCTGACGTGCAAATGTAGCATTCATAATTAGATTATCACAGATCTATTTTAAATATTTATAATATATTTAATATGCACCACATGTCAAAAGTTCACGACGTGAAGTGCTGACCCCTGCCTGACCGCCTTCTAGGACAATAGGTCCAAGTTTTTCTGTAAAATGTTAGGTACAGATGTACCAGATGTGTTAAATGTTACCAATATACTTAAACAGCTCTGATCATTCGGCCGTCAACTCTTGTTTATTTTACATGTATTTGTCCCGGCGTCGGCTGGTTATTAGTTTGTATGGTTATTTATAACTGATCAAATGTATAAAAAAACATGGATTAAGATTTAATTGTCTGCGGATTATCAAATGTTATTCCAGCTGATATACTCTTTAAATAAATCTGAATTTAATCTCGAACTTTGAGACCAATTTGGACACAAGTCATAGCAATCAAAGGTGCTTAAACCATTTAAATTACGTCAAAGTAAAGGCACTTATTGATTGACGTCAGAGTAAAGTCTGCCCTCAAAGAAGAAATATTGTTCTGACCTGTCCGGTCGGTCAGTTGAACTTTAAATCAATTTTAAGGGTGACTCGAGTATGTACTTTTAGATATATATATAAAATATAGTTACTTGAGAGTTAACTTATAGATAAGTATTTTGTGATTATGTATATTTTAGCAAACATTTCAGCTGATGTTCAGGTATCTCGATAGTCACCAGCTTCACACCCTCCAATATGGATCCGAGGTCTGAGGTCTGATCCACACTTAATTGGGTTGTGATACCTAATATAGGTGGTTGGGTGACGCAGTGGTAACGCACTCGCCTTTAACCTAGCCGTCCGGGGTACGATTCAAGGCGGTTTGACTTTTGGATGGAGTTGTACTGATTTTAATCTCAGGCAAAACAGTTCACTTAATGCGATGGGCCTCCCTTATGGTGTTCATTGAAGACGTAAGCTTCAAATCCCACCGACTCTGTTTTCAAGATACGTAATTTATCGACAAGAGATATACTATAATACATATTAAAGGTGAAATACCAGAGTTACGAGGATGTCGGTCAATGCATCAACATCACACATTGAATGGAAGATAATGAAATTCTACTCCAATGTGAGTTTCCAATAAAACATTATTGTTTTCCAATAAATGTACTCGCGACTCGGTAACACCATTTATAAAGTGACCAATTCATTAAATCTCAGGCACTTTGATGTCTCGTGGACATCGCTATATTTATCATATAAAACTGTTTGTTCCATAAAACGATGGTAGTACGTTAGCAGTGTTATACTTAAAATTAGATCCGTCAAAATCACGATTAAAACTTTCAATTTGGTTTACGGCTGATGCAGTATATGGCGATTGCAGGAACTGAAATAAAGATATTTCTACATGTATTTCAAATTTTGTAAAAACACACACACAAATCACACGGCGGTATTTCCTTCACATTGTTTACATGTTTGTATATATCAAAGGTGAAAACATAAAAAAATAAATATCTTTTATTTTCATTTCTTCATCACAAATAATTTATTAAACATGGAGTTGATGTATGATGTATATTTTTATAATTTGTATTCAATGACAAACTTACATTTCACCCCGATCTGTGTCAGAAGCTTCACCTTTTTTCGGCGCGAAAATCTGTGTTATACATGCCTCACAGAGCCACGCTATGAGACTTTTTTATTATTGGATTGAGTTCCAATCCAAGTAATGAAAACTTTAGGTTCTGATCTCGGACCAACAAATCGAAGTTGATAGAATCGGCACGTCCCTCCCAGAATGGTGTCCTACCTTCAGTATAATGTGACCAGACAGGGCGCTATCCTAGAGTGTACAGGTCGTGAGATTTCAGTGTGATCACACTATAAAAATGTACGATAATCGTACGCAAATTATATGTAGTTTCTACGGGACATGAAACACCAATCAAACTGTATACTGTAACTATATAATGTGTATTGTGAAGATTTTAAAGTACAAGTTGACTTACTACATCTGACTAGTGGGAATTTATCTTTAGCCGAGCGGCAGAGTGACCAGCTAGAGGGGAAAGCATTACTAGTTCGATTTCCAGTGCTGGCAGGGCGTTTTTCTTCTTTTATAGATTTTATGCCGCCGACATGATAGAAGATATACTGAGATGACCGAATGGTCTTTAGTTCCAACTCAAGCTGCCGGAGGATATTTTTCATAACACCTCCCTATTACAGATTTGTTGCCCTTAATTGGGATGTTTCCTTTGAGATAACGAACCCGGGATTTTGTTTTCTCTTATCCTTAACAGGTCAATCTATGCTTATTACCAGTGTGAGATTTCCTGGTCACACCCTAGAGTTGAGACGGAGGGGGGGGTGTTTCCCAGGGAAAAGATTTTCACTCGGCAAGCTTCGTGTTTGTTAACTTAATCTTCTCACCCCCCCCCCCCCCCCCCCCCCAACCCCCAACCCCCATCCCCCAACGCCCCACCACTACCCCCACCCCCCTTCCACGATTGAGATATATATCTATCTCATCTCCAAGGGTTTTAGTCTTCGGGGTCGAAGACATTTTGAAGGAGGGAGTGATGTAGAAATTAAGAATACTTGTTGCTTTAATAAGCTTGGTTTGTGGAAAATTCTCTTTAATCGAGCGGTAGAGTGTTAGGCTAGAGATTGAGGGGTCATTAGTTCGAATCCCAACAAGGTATTATTAATGACTTCATCCATTACGACTGTAGAAATATTCATAATGAGGAAATTAAAGGTATAATCTTCTGATCATTATTCTTAAATGCTATTTAAGATATTGATAGGTTTACAGAAATCAAAACCCGATCATCCCGTGTTGGTATATATCGATTACCTCGAGGTGATCATACCGATAGATTTCATTCTTCTTTATAATTACACTTCGTCCAAACCAAAGGGTGCTACTTTTGAATTTACCAGGATTCAAATATCATAAGCATGTCGAGAACGATCTGATTGTGACATGCTATGATAATTAAATCAGATTTTATTCTGATAGTTCTATCTCTTTCTTGATTAATGTATAAACATTTAAAGATACGCTATAATGAGAAACCTGATCATCCCTCAAAGAGAAAATAATTAAGTAAGTAACCGATCGACATCATCTCGGTCATCTATTCTGAACTAGGGATATACGTACATTCCATGCAGTTTTTAACATTTCCCTTGGTCCTCCCTTCTAACCTTTGGCCTTTAGTAGGGAGTTTGACTCTGTGAGCAAGACATTGCGTTCTGCCTCTTGCCGAGACAAAATAGTCTTAAAAAGAAACAGCTTAACGCTCGTCATGGTGGAAACGTAATAATTAGTTCGCCCATTTCACTATCATGCATTACCAGAGATGACGTGACCTGTTAGGGAATTCTGTAGTATACTTCAGTGTGACAGCACTATAAATCTGCATCATGTCCGCATTTTCACACAGCAGACTTATACAAACATATCACAACCTCTCGGAAACACGCGCATTTAATACTTGCGCTCACCTCGCCTACATTGGGATACCTTCCTTAAATGACCTCGGCTGTTGATAAGACAATAAACTTAAACAAAAATGAAACCCTTCCTATTGACACAGCCACAGGTAATTTTACTTTAACACATTGAGCTATGTATTTGTTACTCCGGGTCAGAATTCCTGAGGCCGATTGAAGTGTTTCCTAAACACCGACATTCTTTTTTATACGCTCGTCGATAGACTGGTCTTATCGTGTCATCATTTGAGCGGTCAGGCGGTGTCCGCTCAGTAACAGGAGTAATTTTCAACGGACCAACTTCAAACTTCACGTGGAAGTCAATTACCATGATAGCTCAAACAACTTCGATCACCCTAAAATTTACGGAGTTATGGCCCCTTGTTCATGATATGGCAAGCAGTTATTAACAAAATAATTTCAAACTTTATAGGCAAGCTCATATTCGGACCAAACTTTATGGAGTTTTTGGCCTTTATTTCATAACGGCAACATCGTCCAATCATTATCGAAAGTAGGCTTCAATGGATCAACAGCAATCGTCATAGGGATAGCTCGTACAAGTTCGATAACCGCAACTTTCGACCTGTAATTTACAGAGTTATGACCCCTGATTTCGATAACCTAAACAGTACCTGCTCGATAGTAGTTTCCAACGGATACACTTAAAACTTCCCAGGGTTCATTACGATCATAGCTTGGACAAATGTTGGTACTCTCTGTAAATCACTTTACTGTGTTAATCAGACATTAAACATCACTTTCTTTCCTTTTCTTGCTACAAAATGCTGTTATTACCTATAACGGCCATGTACCGCCTCAGGTAAATATCTTTTTCAACAGAAATTTGTTGTTTTAGTAACATAGTGTAATGCAAAGAGCTGTTACCTAGGAACAAACACAACTATAAGATACAGTCAATTCTGTGGGGTTTTTTTTTGTTTTTGTTTTTTTTTTTTTAATTTTTTTGTGTTTTTTTATTTATTTTTTTTTTCAGCGGTATCTTATTTAAAACATAAGCTGTGAACCACCTTTATCTTTCTGTTCGCTGCTTACATTCTATGACACTGATAATTTATTCTATTTAATTGGCAACTTTATTTAAATTGCAGGTTTCCGGAGCGCCAAAGGTTTGTTTTTTTTAAGTTTTGTTAACGTCGAATTATGCGTGTTAACGCCAAAATGGTTGCTCCGCGCAGAATTATTCACAAAGCAATTCCATACTTAAACACATATAACTGAATTTCACGAGCTTTCGTTTATAAACCTGTTCACTACTTTAAAGTTAGCCACAATTCAAATGTAATATTCAAGCAAGATAAAAGATAATTTTGTTGAGTCAATGCAAGTGTTAATACAGTTGTAATCCGACAATTGGATCGTAAATTGAAGCCACAGTGAGATACATCAAATCAGCCTTACTAGATACTTTTCATTACAGCACCAACAGAAATCCTTCATATTCAATTCACTGATATGTATTTGTAATATAAATAAATATATGTGTATATAATATATATGTCTATATATATATTTATTTATATATTACAAATATGGACAGTTATATACATATATATATAATTATAAATAAATATATATCCATATTATATAATTGTCCATCTTGATGGTTTATATTGCTGAATATTTTCAGAAAACGGCTCAACATAAGTTTGATAACTTGTGCCCAATCGTTTTGTATATATTTCATACAAATAGAATATGTTTTAATCAAACAACTTTTCAGGGGAATAATTTATTTTTATTTCAAGTAAATCAATCTGTTGCAGACCTGTCAACAGTGAAACATATTTTCGTGTATCTTTCTTTTTTTAATGTTAAAAGATACATATCGTAAAATTAGCTGGTGTTGTAATTGGGGATGTGAATGCGGACAATCCGTTTCTAATTTTGGACCCGGACAGCCAAGATTCCGGATAGACAAGATTCCGGACAACCGAGCTTTCGGATAGACAAGATTCCGGACAACCGAGCTTTCGGAAAGATGAGATTCCGGATATTCGAGATTCTGGATAGCTGAAATCTATAGATTTTCTCTCCAGTGGGAAAAGTTGAACTTTTTATTAACAAACGAAAACAAAAGCAAAATAAAAAAAATGTAATTGAAAAATATTAATAAATTTATGAATAAATCTGATTAAGAAAAAACTAAAATACTTACCTAAAAAAGTCAGTGTAGCGAAAATAAGGGCGACTCGAAGAAAAAGGCGCTGGTCAGAAACCGCCATTACACCAAGGCAGTAACTTTCCTTCCGTCTGGAATATAGATTACATTCATCTATATAAATACACAAAGAAAAATCAATACCTTAGACTAAGCCAATACCTGATCGTCAAACTGACCAATTGGACGACGCGAGACGGCAACCTATCAAGCGTGACATTTGATTGTATACCCTATTGTCCACCACGTGGAGAGTAACTGACGTCAGTAGATTTTAATCTGTGAAAAATGCTTACGAAACTATTGAATTTACGGGACAGGTCACATGCTCGAACCAAACCATACCTAACACTATGAGCAAGAACAGAGCTGTTGTTTTAGTTGGGCACAATTTGAGCCGCGTAGTATATACTTGGGAAGTTTAAAACAGACAATGTGCTTTTGTATTAAAAACTGATTTCAGAAATTTACATGACTGTAGTTTAATGACTATGTTACATGTACAGATCTTTAAATTTAAACGTTTTTAGATATTAGATGGAAAGTGTTAAAGTAAACTTAATTATTTTTTATATATATATATATAATTACGTAACTTCGACCGAATGCGTTTACGCTTATGTTATTAAAAATGTAGGCTGTTGAACGAGACAGTTCTATTCTACAAGGAAACACTGAAATGACTTTAGTTAAACTGGGGGCTATAGACCCAGCTAACAAACCAACTGAAATGATTTTAGTTAAACTGGGGGCTATAGACCCAGCCAACAAACCAACTGAAATGACTTAAGTTAAACTGGGGGCTATAGACCCAGCCAACAAACCAACTGAAATGACTTTAGTTAAACTGGGGGCTATAGACCCAGCCAACAAACCAACTGAAATGACTTTAGTTAAACTGGGGGCTATAGACCCAGCCAACAAACCAACTGAAATGACTTTAGTTAAACTGGGGGCTATAGACCCAGCCAACAAACCAACTGAAATGACTTTAGTTAAACTGGGGGCTATAGACCCAGCCAACAAACCAACTGAAAGGAAGAGTATTTTGAATTATTCTTAATTTATTTAATTAATTACTTATAATTCTATTTCTTTATTTAATCAATTAATTATATTTATGTATTTACTCATTTATTTATTTATTTTATTTTTCATTTATTTTATCTATCTATCTAGTTAGAAAATAAATCACAGCAGAGATTAAAAAACATAGACTCTATTGTATATTAACTGCAGAAAGGTATATTTAGGTCGCGTGTTTGGAGCGCGTGTAACTTCTGTACTGTGATATTTGATCCGTACGTAGAAGGGTTATACTGCCATACAGCATATTGTATAGTGTTGCAGTTTTAAATGTGTCTGGTGTACACATGGTGTTAACAAGATCGATCTAAAGCAGTTAATATCTTACCTAACAAAAAACAGAATAATGCTGGATTGTAGTCGATGTCTGTAGATATTGTTTTGTGTAGGATTGATAAACTTCGGAATCTTTCACCAGTATTTAGTTTGTGACGCCATTCTCTTATAACAGTCAACTCAACAGTAAACCATGACAGCGTCAGTTGTTATTCCTTTGACAGGAGTTATTTTTTCTTAACACACACCAAACGTGACTTTGAAGTCGAATTCATTAACAAATATTTGAATTCCTATAACGCTGGATCTAAAGCTCATAGTTTGCACAAAGTTACGTCACCGATTCAGGTCTTTGAAATGTTTGGTGTAAACCTGACTGATGGAGTCGAAAAGTCATGTCAAAATACTCGTGAAAATGCTTTCCCTTTCGTTTTTTTATTGTCCCAATTATAAACACCAGAGACGTATATTTTTCCTTAATCTGTGAATACGCAGTTTTGAGTTAATCTTCTCTCTTGAAATAAAAATCTGCCTGTACACACGAATGAAATGATATCAAGAAATGTGCATACTTTCATTAAATCTAGCAATATATTTTACATAACATTCTAATTGATTTGTTTTCTAAGGTCAGAGATCAATGTCACTGTTCAGAATGTATACAATGATAGACTTGTGGCTGTTCCATAGGCAGAGATTTCTTCCTAACATGCGACCAACTGCATTCTGATATCAATGTCTGATGAATATTGTCTAAAAACGACATTTCTTCCAAATTTTCTACAACGACAGGTCGTCGATAAGTGAAACTTCCTTAAAGCACGGGTTCTATAATTTTCCCTAAAAATGGGGCAAATAAACCACATCCCGGATTTAGATAGAGCTAAAGTAGATATTGATATCCACCAGATGTTGGAATACGGCTTCGTTAGAAAATATTCCTTCGAAATCCAAGGATTCCGCTTTCAAATAGGTTCTGGTTCCGGTTCAGAAGATAAGCGCGTGCATTTTGTCATACCCAAAGATTGACAGAGAAATCCTGTACAACTTGAATGGGACACAGATCAGTAAACGATCGGATAAACGGATTTTATCTAAAAACCATGACATAATTAACTTTATCGATTTTAATATTTTCAGTTAAACACTGACAAGCTGCTTTTTCATATTTTATCATATCGAATTCTTTCTTTGGTTAAAAATTTAGAACCGATTATATATTCAAATCTAGTAGACGGAGAAAGGTTCTTTTCATTAAGATCATTCAGGTA